GACGTTCGCCACCCCTGCGCTACAGCAAAACAGACATTTTTGGAATAGCATCCCAAAATTAGCAAGAAACAAGTATTGGATTTCATTCAGCAGATACGGTGCATTTCACAAGTGGATTTCACAAGAAAGAAAATGTATAAGGTCAAGTAAAGACATTTCTCACTCATAATAGCAATCCATGCCTCAAAACCCCCACCAAACCTCTGCTTTCTGCTCGACTCCACCAAGCAGTTGTGAGTATTTACAGATGGAGGCATGCCGTGTGAGACACCAGCACAGTCTCTTCCATCATACATGAAGAGTATTGTTCATTCAGGCCTAACAACAGTAGAGACAGCTCCTATGTCCCCTATACTGTCAGTCTAAGGAAGCCCATCACAATAGCTGCATTGATGCACGCTGTTAGCAGCAGTCTGACGGCACATCTAATGAGGATCTGACAGTTCTCACACAGTGCTGCCTGCGCTGTCACTGCGCTCACCAAAACCACATCTTTATTTTCATGGGTGTGCATGCTGACGGCTTGAGAACTACGCTCATGGTTCATCTCTGAATCACATGCCAAGTCTAAGAAATCATCTTGACAGTGGTAAAGTGTGGTGTTTATACTGAATTGCGTCTTACAATATTTTAAGGGATAGTCAGGGTTATTATTGTTGACTAAAACCATTCAAATATTTTTGTTCACTGAAATAAGGCTGAAATAAAATATAAATGCAAGAAATATTTATGCATGCATGCACGCACGCACACACATATTATGGACAAAAAAAATCAAAACGAAAATTAGAAGTGGTAACTAACTGAAATAAGTTTGCAGCACTAAAACTACTACACTCTAAAAAAAATGCTGGGTTAAATACAACCCAGTGCTGGGTTAAATAGGGACAAACCCAGCAATTGGGCTGTTTTGACCCATGGGTTAAATGTTTAACCCAACCGATGGGTCAAAACAACCCAATTGCTGGGTCTGTCCCTATTTTACCCAGCACTGGGTTGTATTTAACCCAGC